TTCCTTCGACCAATTTGCTGTTTTTTCTTATTATTTCTAGATGTTTACGCATTTTTTCACTTACCACAAGGTTGAACGATCAGGTGCGGTAGTTGCTAGATAGCTGGTCTGTGACTTGTGCGTTGAAATTCTTCTCAATATCGTTAAACTTTTTAACAATTATGGTGTACTCGCTTGCAGAAAAAGTGGATATAATCGAACTTTATTTTTAAAATAATGAATGTGGCAATCGGTTTGCGCAGATATTCAATGAACGCCATCCTGACAAACACCTTTATGGCAAAATTGTTCGCGATTTAGTAGCAAAATTTCACGAAACTGGTTCAGTTATGAATAAAAAGAGGTAGAGGGAAAATCCTGTAGTAAATGAAGCTATGGAGGTATTCGTATTGGGCATGGGCGCCGGACAGGGGGGGCAAGAGGGGGCATTTGCCCCCCCCCCCCCCTGGATCACTGAAACAATAAAAATAAAAGCTATATCTTCTTACATCCATCTGTAAAAAAATAATCATTATTATGAAATTGTTAGGTGTTACCTGTAAAAAAATAAAAAATGTGGTAATTATTGGGAAAACTGGAAATCGTCCGATTTTCACCAAAATTGGTATACACACTATTTTGAGGTCGTAGATTACGAATCTACTTTTTTTTTGGCGGTCTCTTACCGTTTTTCAAAAAAACGGAAAATTATTTCAACATTGAATTTTTCTTTATTTCGGCCCTATAAAGTAATAATTTCACTATATTTTCATTATATTATAGTTTATCTAAAAGCTACACTTGATTGGGGATAGAAAAGTGTCCAACATTTTACTAAAAAACACTTTTCTTAACAAAATAGCAAAGAAAATTGAGACCAGATGGAAGTTTGACATTTGATATATCCTTCTTTCTCTCTCCTATGTAATAAGAGAGACAAATATATTCTAGACCCAATCTAGAAATTTGAAAATTTACAACGTTGCCATATCTTCTATTTTTTCGGGTGATTAGGGATTTTAAATAAATTACCTATTATGAGATCGACAATAATTAAATATACACCTATATCCACAAAATTACGCGGAAGAGTTTTGATTGCATTGGTTTTAACTTCTTTGCGGAGGGGGTTAATCTTTTTTTAGTTAATCTAATAATATAACAACAAAAGATTAACACCCTCTGCATGGAAGTTGTAACCAATGCAATCAAAACTCTTTCGTGCAACTTCGTGGGTATAAATAGTCAGATCTCGTTGGTAAAATAGCAGTTATGGGAAGGAGCCGTTCTTCTGGCGACCGCCTTTCGTAATTCCAGAATGAGCGAAAAAAACACGCTAAATTTAGGTTTAGCATTGGCAACGTTGCTTTAAATGCCAGAAACACATAAACTTACTTCGGGTTTCTCTTATTACCGATTCTGAACCGTCCTAGAACTGTGATGCGTATGCGCAGAAGGAAATATGAAGACATTATTTCATTTGCGCATGCGCTGCAGAGTTCTTGGACGGTTCAGAATCGGTAATAACAAGAACCCGAACAAAGCTATAACCTAACATTTTCAGATTGTTTACAAATTTATTTTAGCAAATTTTCCTCTATTTTGCATAGAATTGGATAAAAAAGTAACAGAAAATAGCAAAAACATTATTGATTATTGAATACCTAACAAAATATGTGCTAGAAAACCTTAAAAATATGAGAAATTAAGAAAAATTCGATATTGAAATTATTTTCCGTTTTTCTGAAAAACGGTAAGAGACCGCCAAGAAAAAAGTTCAGATTCGTAATCTACGACTTCAAAATAGGGTGTATACCAATTTTGGTGAAAATCGGACGATTTCCAGTTTTCCCAATAATTACCAAAAATGTCAATTTTTTATTCATTTTTACCTTGCCCCCCCCTCAATTTCATTCTTCCGGCGCCCATGGTATTGGGCCAAGTTGCCATGGATAGTACACTGAGTGGCCGTTATGTCTTGCGGAACGTTTTCGATGGGCCACCCTGTATGAAGATGTATAGTGATATATATTTCGCTTAGTTTTATATAAAGTGCACCTGTATGCATTTAAAATGATGCAAATTGAGAAAAGTACTCGGGAAATGGTAATGAAACACTTTGAAACGTAGAACGTAATTTAAAAAAATGCGGAGATTTAAATTTCGATTTCATCTTGCTATACGCTTCTTGAACTAAAATTGTCTTAATTTTAGAAATATAGAGGTAGCATATTCCAGCTTCGGTATAAAATGGAAAACCCATTATAACGTTATGAAATTTCCTCGATTTTATCAACATAATATCCACGACACGTGTACAGGCGACTCTCTGAGATCTAAAGTTATACAATTACTACATATTTTCTACAGTTTTAAACATAGAAATGGAAAAAGGTGCAAATAGTTAATTTTTATACAAGACGATAAAATGGTAGATATTTTACGATAATGCAATTTTATCGTAGTGTATAAAACAATTTTTTTTCCATAGCAAGTTACATTTTAAAAAATATTCAGAAATTATTATTTCAAGGAATTTATTACGAGTAGAAAAAATATTCTGCTGGGTTGGCTTTGGTTTCTATGTAATTTGACAAATAAATAAAGCTGTCTCTTTAGTTGTCAGTTTTGAGTTAATATTTTTTAAATCTCTTTTGTGTCGATTGCTGATTGAATTGGAGCCAGAAATGGCTCAAAACGAAATAAGTAAATTACCAACAGATATTCAGGCTGAGCCGACAAACGCCATATCCAAACTACTTCTTTTCCATGGATTTTTTATAGAGTAGGATTCGAGAAAAACTGAAAGTTTCTTACCACAAAATATATTTACGGTTTAAAAGAAACAAACTATTCTTTATTTGCTGCTTTAATTATGATTAATCGATGGCATGCTAAAAATTCTTTAAATCGATGCACTTTATTTTGTGCAACGCTATTCTAGTATTTCAACGAATCATTCGAGCCCCCTGTTGCATGTTCAAAGATAGTTTCGGATAGAATTTATGAGCGTAACTCAAACAAAACTCATCTGAACGAACCAGACCTACAAAAATTAGATTTAAATCAAATTAGGGCAGCTATAACTAACGGATATTCGAAGCAACGAAAACCATATTGATTTAAAAAATATACTATAGACATTACTACTCATGTTTAACAGCCGCTTTCTGGAAATATTTCGTGAAACATTTCGCAAAACATTTCTGGAAATAGTACGATAAATATAAGCCCGTGTTATAAAAATTATTTCCCACGTTTCCTGAAATTAATCGAGATCCACCGTGATTGGTTGTTTGTTTTTTATTGTTAAAAAAAAAATTGTTTTTATATTTTTGTGAAATACCACGAGGCAAGCCTCACTTGCCGATGTTGTTTCGGTTTGGTTTGGAGTCGTGAGAGTTTGTTTGGAGTTTTGTTTAGAGTCGTGAGAGTGCGCCTTAAAGGCAAGTATATTCCAATAACAAATGTTTGTCAAGTACACCAGTCGTAAGAATGCGCTTTTAAATTTCTATGTGCAACGTCACATAAGTTATGACCATATGATTTTAATAAAAAATGTGTCATTCAGACTCATAAATAGAAGTGATTTGGAAATTACTGCTTTCACGTAGTTATATCATTGATAATTAATACCAATTCTCCCATCCTCTTGTCGTAGTACATGGACGATGGCCTCAATTGGTAGAAAGGACCGTCCTAAACAAGTTTACACAAATTAGTCCTGTTTATGGGGACACGGGTCTCCAGGGACCATTAAAGGGCAAATAAGGGATTAACTCGTGTGTTTTAAAGGGTTGAATCCATTTAATTTCGAATGGGTAAATGGCCCCCTTTAGTATTTTTACGTAAAAAAATCAATAATGTTGATGTTTGATCTTGATTTTTTATTAGTATACAACGTTTTATTTGTTTAGTGTTATCTATTTAAATATTAAAAAATAACACAAATATAAAATTTATAAAATGAAATCAATAGTTATTTATGATACCAGTGTGTTATCTTACATATACAGAGAAGACCAGGCTACTAGTAACATAGCAAGTTGCCGGACGAATTTACGTTTACCCGTTTTGCGTTCGTACTCGAGAGTCACTGCCGGCTAGTCGGCTGGTCAGGAAGTACGCAGTTGCAGTTGTGCTTGGACGGGTCGGTCGTGACAGACTAGGAATATGACGCGAGGAATGCCGTGTATTTATTATTTTCATTTTAAGTGTTTACCTTCACTTAAGGTAACATTTAAAATAAAAATACTTAAATATTTATTATTTGAGTGTGTTTACAAGCCAAAACTAAAAATAAATAAATTCTCTAAACCCCAAAAAAAATGTAATATTATTGCTAGACAGAAGCCTATGCGGTGGTAAAGTCCCCGTCTGACATTGGCTAGCATATTAGGGCTAATAGTTTGGAAAGCCTCTCGTATTTTTACTTGAAGCTCATCCAGATTATTAGCCCTATTATGACCATACACTTTGGATTTTACATAACCCCACAAAAAGAAATCATTGGGAGAAAGATCTGGTGATCTAGCGGGCCACAAAATAGTTCCATGTCCTGTAGTTCAATGTTGAAATAGTAATTTATGAATAAAGGTTAATAATTTCTATAAACTGGTGTGACTTTGAAGTTATAACACACTAGTGTGTTATAACTTCAAAAACTTACGCGTGTATTATTATTTATTTTATATGCATGGTATACATGCGAGTAATGTCTGTATAAGTAGTAGCTGTTGGATAAATTATTATTGTAAGCAGTATTTTTCGATGACCATGGAACAGAATATCTTTTGGAGAAGAACTATACGTTTATATGTACTTCAATGGTATTGTTACGATTATCGATTAATACGATTATCGTTTTAATAATATTTATCTTATAATTATGTTGTTATTTAAATATAATATAATTATTATTGTCAATATAAACAAACAAAAATACAAAAAAAATATAATTATTATTGTCTCAATTCTATTGTATTCAAAAACTCTTTTTCTAAATATGTTTTTCTTTTCAGTGTTTCGTCCATATGTTAAGAGGATCAGAAAACCCAGTCATGAATTCAACTGAAAGCGATACAACGAAAGAACTTATTCCAGGACTAGAGGAATCCAGCCTGGATAGAGACGAAAATTTGGCAAGGATAGAGATAGCCACCCTGGCACTAATTTTCCTAACCACAGTTTTAGGAAATGCCACAGTTTTACTAGCGTTGTGGACCAGAAAAAGGTAAAGACGGATATTTTATTATTTTATGACGTTCTCTATACAGTGGGTGAGTCTTAAATAAGTGCAAATATCTTTAGGGGTAGTATATTTCGAACACAAAAACACGTATATAAGAAAAAATTAGTTAAAAAACATATCTTCATAATATGACAACATAGGTAGTATATAAAATTAACAAAAAAGAAAACCAAGAAAAAATAATCCAGTAGTTTCTCAAAATTTAAGCGAAAAATCATTTTTTTAAACTTTCAGAAGTAAAATGTCTCGGTTACTTTGAACTTATTAGAAAAACGGTAAAGATAAAATATGTTTTTTTTTATCAAAATCTACCAACCCTGAAAATATTTGCACTTATCTAAGACTCACCCTGTACTATATCTATTTACTCAAAATTTAATTTGATTTATAGAATAAGAAATTTGCTTAATGCAGTGCTATTAATAATATTCCAAAATCTATTATACTTAAATACCTATTGAACTTTATGGATAAAAAATATGTTTAAAATATTATTTGTAATTCAAAAAGCAGGGCTATTATTTTTCATACATTTTATTTAAAAACAAGTGTTTTGAACTTCAAAACATCATTACTCGTTTTAAACATTTGTTTAATTGTTTTATTTTTTTACATGCCTTATTTAAAAATTGAAAAATAGTTATTTTTTATACAAGACGATAAAATGGTATTTTATCGTCGTTTATAAAAAAATATTTTTTTTCGTAACGAGTTACGTTTTAAAAAATATTCATAAATTATTATTTCAAGGAATTTATTACGAGTAGAAAAAATATTCTGCTGGGTTGGGAATGGTTTCTATGTAATTTGGCAAATAAATAAAGCTGTCTCATTAGTTGTTAGTTTTGTGAAATATTTTTTAATTCTCTTTCGTGTCGATTGCTGATTGATTTGCAGCCAGAAATGGCTCAAAACGAAATAAGTAAATTACCAACAGATATTCAGGCTGACGCGACAAACGCCATATCCAAACTACTTCCATTTAAATCCCGAATAACTTATGAAAAGGAATACAAAAATTTTCGAAAATGGAAGCAATTAAAAAACGTGCGAGAAGAAATAAAGTTTTTAACCTATCCTCGCTGTTAAAGTATCATTTAATCTACCCTTGCGGTTAAAGTACTATTTTTGATAGATATAATGCAATTCTAACAGTTGCTATTGAAAAAAGAAAAATGTTTCCAACCTTCCAAAAAGTACAAAATATATAGATAATCTATTCAAAATAAGTGAAAATATTTAAAAAATACTTCATATTAAAATATAAATATCATTAATCGAAAATATTGAAATTTGTTTCTAAATTAGATCCAAGAATTCTGTATATTATTAAAAATAACGGGAATACAACAAATTTTATTTTGATTAATGAATTCGATATTATGCTTTATTCTGTCACAATACATAAGCAGGTGCCCTTTAGCTGTCTACCAATTAATTTAACAAGTTCATTAGTAATAATTTAGGAGCAATTTTGAGCTAAAATGCAAGCATTAATTCTATCGTTACACATAGAGCTAGTATTAGATCAATAAAAGCTTGGCTTTTCAATAATAATTGATGTTATCTTAGAAACAATGTAATAACGAGAAATAATTGTAATATTTTTTACTCTAAAAGACGTTGTTTAAGGAGTAAAGAAATACTGTATTTGTATTTTACTTTAAATGTTGTTTGTTATAGTTTTATTTTAGTTTGTATTATACTGAACTATTTCTTTATGACAGGATACAATAATTGTATTTTTGAAGAAACTTCTTTACGCGGCGATAGGAGTAAAAATTCAAGGCAGTGAAAAAAAAGTTGGTTAGGTTAGGTTATGTTAGGTCGCTTACCGCATATAGGGCTTTCTCCAGTAAGTATGATTTCACAGCTTTGCGAAATGCGGGAAAGAATGAAAGCGACTTGATATCCACAGGCAGATGATTGTACATTTTTTTGGCATTGTACAGTATTGAGCCTTTAACTAGTTCTGAGCTTGAGGTTGGCAGATAAAGGTCGTGCCCGCATTCCTAAGTGGATAGTTGTGAGGTGGCCTTTCGGGAATACCAGATATGTGCTTGCGGATTAAGCAAACGGATTCAAAAATGAACAAGGAAGGAAGTCAGTATTTTGAAATTTTTAAAGAAATTCCTGGCAGTGAGTTCTACTGTTCAGTCCCAATAAATATCGAACTGCTCTTTTGAAGTTTGAAAATACGATCAAATTTTGTTGCGCAGCAAGTACCCCAGAATGGAAGGGCATAAAGAAGATGCGACTCAAAAAGAGCATAATAGCGTATTCTAGAGGTTGATAAGTTCCTTAGAAACTGATCTTAGCGCAAAACAGGCAGCGCTTAGTTCCTTTGATAAAGCTTCGATGTGCAAGTTCCATTTTAACGAGTTTTCTACAACAAGTCCTAAGAGTCCACGACGTCAATAGTGGTGTTATTAAGTACAAAAGGTTGTATAGAACTTTTATATGACAAAACTTTAGTTTTTGATAGGTTGAGGCATACGAGATTAGAATCGCACCAAGATTTAACGGTGATATAGTATTATACAGTGCCGTAACATCTGGGCCGCTCCAAGTGAAACTAGTATCGTCCGCAAAGAGACAGATTTTACCGCTAATGTCTAGATTTGCAATGTCGTTGATAACGTTACGATAAACCCCTCTATAAAGTTTCACGTAATTTTAAAAGAAGACGCTATCCGTGAATTTTTTTAAGGTGAGATAATGAGCGCATGTTCTTTGCAGAAATAATACCTTTAATTTAAAAATGTTACAATATCCAAATAAAACTTCCTATCTTTTAATCAAATCTGTCCTTGTTTTAAAATTAGAACAGAGAGAAAAATAAAATCAGAGATGATCCCCAAATTAAGAAGTTCTGGACATACAAATATATCCCGAGTCCCCCGTAAACCTTAGTCAGGAACGTGCAAAAAATTTAATAAAACCCGGATTAAAAAAGGCGCACGTCGCGTCGTTTCAAAGGAAAGTTTGTTGCAGACACTCAACCTTTTTTCTTTATTAACTACTTTTTCTGGCCAATCACATCGCACAGACTAAAAGGGTGTAAGTGCTTTTTTTCTATCTTCTGGTTTTATTTTAGATATCTTAGTTTTGGGTTAATCTGAACGAATATAAGTGGCCATTTTTATGAATAATGTTTTTTTAGTAGTTTTTTATTGCTTTATTGATACACTAGCGTGTACCAGCGACTTCGTTCGCGTCGAATTAATCATTTGTAATGGTGATGATAAAACAAAGCAAGAATTTCCGTTAACATACAAACTGGATAAAATTTTCTCACATTTATGTCAGCATGAGAAAAAACAATATGGCGATATTATTATATAACTTGGTAATATTTGAGGGGTAGTTTCATCTCGAATTTGATTTTCGAAAAATCCGTTTGCCAAAAATAAGCTTTTTACGTCAAGCATTTTAAGCAGAATCGTGGTTAATCAATTTCCCAACTTTTTGGAACACCCTGTATGATTTTTTAAAAATCTTCAAAATATGTAAAATTATGCATGTCCAAGCGTTTTCCCGAAAGACTAACCGTTTTTTAAATAGCAAATATTGTAATATTTGAGGGGCGTTTTCACCCTCTTGGAATTTGAGATTCGAGAAACCCCGCCTTATCGAACCTCTACACCCCACAGTTAATCGGTTTGCCAAAAATCAGCTTTAAACGTCAAGCAGTTTAAGCAGAATCGTGATTACTTAATGCTCATATTTTATGAAACACCCTGTATAAATTTTTAATTTTTTTAAATATGTAAAACAACAAAAGACGATAAAATACCATTTTATCGTCTTGTGTATAAAAAATAACTATAGATTAAAAAAGCAATCATCTGGTTAATCTAGTGATTTTGTTTCAAAATGCAAAAAATGGGATAATTTTTGTAAAAGCTATAACCATTAGGCCCTATAACCCTTTAACGCGCTGCGGTATGTGTGAAGGTCAAAAGAGAAGAGTCAGAAAAGGCTACAAAGAGCACAGCTATTCCCCGAAATTAAACTGATACAAATTAGATCCAATTAATGCCTTTGTTTTAATTTATGTCTGATATTCCGCTTTATATCGCCCAAAACGCCGCCTTTTAGTATCTGAAATTATATGCAAAGGAAGATAAAACTGTGATATAGCTAATAGCAGGGAAAGGGTTTTAAATTAAATTAATAAATATTGAATGAACAGATTAGACAGCTTGCATTTATTAAAATTTTCTTTAGATATTACAGTTAATTGGCTGGCGTTTTCTAATTAATTAGCTACAGAGAAAGCTACAATTAAAATACCAACTGAAATGTGATTGTGTCATTGTCAAATTCGATGTCAGATTGTGTTTACAAAAATTTGAAGGTACCAAACAGAGTAATTTTGTATAAATTATTATATTTCAGAAATCTGCCGAAGACAAACACACGTGCTTTGATGAAGGCTTGATTAAGGTTTGCAGAGCCTCAACATTTGCCATAAAATAGCGAGCCATTTGTTACAAAACCATATAAATTCTATATCACTGTAATCACAAAACTTCAATCTATTTCCGTATTGTAACGGAATTTTAAATTATGTCTTTATTTTCGAGAAAATTTAGTCCAAACATAAGGAATACTTTGTTCATGTTTCACCATCAAAATCTTAAAAATAAACAAGTTGTCTAAAAATGTGCTACAATGCGGATATAGTATAATCCTTTATCTTTAATTTCCTTTTTGATTTGTGTAAAAATACCTAGCTAGTTTTACATAAAACGTTAAATGCCGAACGATTAATTTGCTACTTTTTCGGCTAGTGAAATGAACTTTTAAGAATCTAGTCCTAGCAACATATTTTCATTTAATCTGAAAATCATAGAAAATAAAATAATCTTAGAAGAAACTTTAAGGTGTTCCATTCACATCGATGAAGTATAACAGAGAATGGCTGTCAAACACATCCAAACTTTTATTCATTTTCTTTTATACCGACCCGAAAACTT